TCGCTTACAAAAATGGTGTGATGAGTGGTGTCTAAGCCTCAATCGTAACAAATGCCAACTTATCCGATTACGTTCGAGCAACAGGAGGCCGTTGAGATTTGAATCTCAGTACTTTATAGGAAGTCACCAACTCGAATCAGTCAACGAGTTAAGAGACCTCGGTGTGTGGATGACGTCAACTCTCAAACCATCGTCTCATTGCGCTAAGGTATCAAAGAAAGCTATGGGTATTTAAGGCGCGATTAGAAGATCTTTCGTCAATTTTGATGAAGAACTTTTCGGCCGAGTATTTGGCGCATACGTTCGACCAATGTTGGAATATTGTGCCCAGGCATGGTGTCCCTGGACGAAAAAAGATTACACCCTACTGGAGAACGTACAACGTAGAGCGACAAGGCTAGTCGGCGGATTAAATACCTTACCTTATGAGAGACGGCTGGAGAAGCTAAAAATGTTTCCTCTCTCTTATAGACAGTACAGAGGGGACATGATCATGGCCTTCAGGATCGTCCGAGGGCTAAACTGTGCTCTTAAGTTTGACGACTTCTTCGAACTGGCGCGGACGACAAATCTCCGAGGGCACGCATGCAAATTGAAGATGAAACATGCCAGACTCGATTTGCGGGCCAAATTCTTCTCTCACCGGCTGGTTGAGGGATGGAACAAATTGCCGAACTCCGTTGTCTTAGCGGAAAACGTCGAGACTTTCTAAAGAAGACTAGATAAACTTATGCTTGATGGTCAAACATTTACATGATATCAATGACTGGTATAACTGCTATGTAAATATCTGCATGTGTTTTCATACGTCTATCTGTAAATAGGGTTTTCCAAGGCTCTGCCTCTATCCCTCATATATACTGAATTATACTGAATTATAGTCCAGGCCCTGATGGTGTCCCAGTAAGCATTTTAAAAGCCGATGCAAACACGATCTTCCCATCCCTCTTATGCAAGATATTTAATCTCGCTCTTGAAAGTGAAACTTATCCTACCTTATGGAAGGAATCACACATTTTGCCCATTCCTAAGCACGGCAAATCTACATCATTTGATGACTTTCGGCCAATAAACACCCTCCCCGCAGTTTCGAAGATCTTAGAGACATTGATCAAGGATAAGATGATGTGTCACTTAACAGTGAATAACCTACTGAGTGCTGCTCAGCATGGATTCCTCAAAGCTCGATCTTGTGACACCTGTCAGCTCTCTTTCTTTGACTATGTTCTCCAATCTAGGGACAATGGTTTTGCACGTTACACTGTATATTTCGATTTCACTAAGGCTTTTGATCGTGTTGACCATGCTCTTCTTCTCTTGAAACTGTCCTCTTTCGGAATAGGTGGCAAACTTTTGAATTTTATATCCTCCTACCTGGGCACTCGTACACAACGAGTTAAGATTTCCAATACCATCTCCAACCCCACACGTGTGAGGAGTGGAGTCATTCAGGGTAGTGTACTCGGCCCGCTTTTAGTTTGCCTTTTCGTTAATGATGTACCCGATTTATTTCAGAATGGTAAGCCTTTCATGTATGCCGATGATCTTAAAGTTGCATATCGATATAAGCTGGCAGATCATGACATCGTGCTTGAGCTCCTAAAGAGCGATCTACAGGCTTTCGCCCAGTAGTGCCGCACATGGCGCCTCTCTCTCTCTTGGCATAAGTGCTCAGTCATGGTGGTTGGCGACGACCGCCAACCTCAACTAAGTATTGAAGGTCACGCCATAAATGTGCCAGGGGTTATAAAGGATTTGGGCGTTTCCTACTCCAAGAGTCTCAATCTCTCGGAGCACTGTGCCTTGATAGTCTCCAAAGCACGTAGAACGACCGGGTTTATCCTCCGAAATTTTAAAACTAGGGACATTAGAATGCGCCTTTTCAACATGTACGTTAGACCTGGTCTGGAATACTGTTCGTTTTCATTTAGCCTCATGCGTGCTACTGAGCGGAAGAAAATGGAATCCGTTCAACACTTTTACCAAGAGAATTTTAACCCCGGAACACCGACATTTGTCTTACCAAGAACGTCGCCGGCTTACAGGCCTCGATCCTTTATGGTGCCTTAGATTACAAAAGGGACTATTTTTGCTACTTAAACTCTTATATAATCACACATTTAACCCACTCACCTCTTTAAGACATCATATCCACCCACGACGTAACAGTCACAGTGAGGTCTTCTTATTTCTGCCTCTGGCACGTACTGTTAAATATCGTCGGTTATTTTCTGTAAATGCAATTGCTATTTGGAATAAACTACCCATGAGTGTGAAAACTCTGCAAAATTATCCTTTATTTAAGAGAACTATTACTCGATTTTTGCATTCAGAAAAGCTCCCACAAATTTTGGGTGCTGAATCTACTGATCGACTGTACCGTAGCGATGGCGTTTGCGGTCTCTGAACACCATGGCCGGTCTCACCAGCTGTTCCTCAACGCCTCTACTTTGACTATCCCCAACTTCACGAAAGGAATTTGACGTCCGATAATCTCCGATACCGTGCAACCTCCCCCCTTCTTGACGGTCGATATTCTACCACCGCCGGCAGTTTTTTCTCCTGAGCCCTCCAAACCATAAAAACCACCATCAACTATATTGTTATCCCTTTAGCTCAGGAGTTTTTTTCACTGCTGGTCGGATTTGTGTTTAATCGCTTCCCTTGACAATGCCTGTAAACTGGCATTAAATAAAAAATTTATTTATCAGGTCATTTTATTCTGTCCGTCTATATTCCGTTTTACACTGCCACATGCAGGCCGGTCCTGTCCGCATTTTTACCCTTTCATGAGCGACAGTCTTCATCACCTTTAAAGCTAATCCCATCATTTTCTTATTCTACAATGGAGTTTTTCACTGCAATTCATTACTTTTCTTAACGGACAACTTAGTCAATAACTATGCATTTCATATTGTACAGATTCTGCCTACCTCGTCTAAAACCCATGTAAAAATTTATTTTTGCTTGCTATGAAAGGACTCTGACGGGTCTTTAATAAAATAATTTTATTTATTTATTATTTATGTCCAGTCTATTTCGGGAGAGTTTAAATCCCCTCTGTTTATCTCAACACTAAAGGAGGGTTCGAAATTTATTTTAAAATATCCTGAAACTGTGATTTATCGCTGGCTGAAGAGTTTGGGGGATTGCGGATACAACCAATAATTGCCTTTATTTGCCGCAAGAGATTAATGGGTTTAAATCAGAAGTTTCCCGGAAATGAGGGACATCCAGGCAATGGGAGAGTGCTTTAGGTACCGCATCTGCGCGTAGTTTTGCAGTCCTGATGGTGGAAATCAAGGTTTTGTATGAGAAGGGAGAAATCGGTAATATGAGCATTGGTCCAAGATTCTGTTACACATACAATACTGAGTGTCATTCTGAGAGCAACGGCTCTGATTTGGGACACTTTGTCTAATACAGATGTGGAATTTAATAATATAACATTCAGTGTGTTTTGATCAGCACGGCTATTGTCGACGGTATTTAGAAAAAAAACTTGGAGGTGGATATGCAAACTGTAAATTATTTTTATTCGGGAATAAGTGCCAGTTAGTTCAGAATTATTGACAGCTGGGAAGTCAGCAATAAACAGCTGAGAGGGAGACCTAAACCATGTAAGGAAATAGTTTTAAGACGCTGGGACACTGAGCAAGATAGAACAGGGATGGGCCTGCTGGCAGTTAATTTGTGATGGAGGAGGGAGTCTAGAAGGAAGGTAGAGGCTATCATGGAGGGGTAGACAGCTATATGAATAAAAGTGTGAGAAAAAAGGTCCAGGCTCGAAGTCAAAGGAATTAGGTTGGCTTACGTGAGAGCAGTTAGGTTTGAGCGGTGGGCAGTCTAAACTAGGTTTGGGGTAAACGAGTTAGGGTAACTCAAGGGCCACTTAAGGGATGCATAGTACGGGTTTTGTAAATAACCAATATGTAGGACAGAGAATTATTTGGGTGTATAATTGGGGCTATGAGATTTATGGACGAGTTTGGATGAAAAGTTTTGGTAAATCTACGAGAAGGCAGCATACTGCCGAATGATGTTGACGTAAATGATAATGTTTTCACGAACTAACGGGTTATATCTCAACAGCCCTTATCATTAAAGGCAGTAAGTAAAACCGACCGATGCATACTATAGAAATTCTGCACGTTAAGGAACATGACAACGGAGCTCGACAGCTAAGCAGGTCATCAAAGCGGGTTGTACTGGTATTCGTCACATTCAAACAAGCAATCCGGCCAAAGGAAACGGGACTAATTTGTCAAAATGAAATTAGTCCGGGGGCTCACCACAGTGTCCTCCTACTAGATCGGAGGGGGACGTAATACGGCGCCGGAGGATATGCATAAGCCCAGAAAAAACGCAAAACTAAACGATCGGAAAATGAACGTGACAACCATTGCGAGTGACGTATGCGCGAGGTACAGTGGAAGAGGATTGACTGCGTGCTATGGTGGAGGATGATGTTACAGTTGAACGCTGTAGGCATGTAGGGAGAGAGAGTATGCGGGACGGAGGGGTATAGGGCAAGGGAGAGGAAGGGGATGGAGTAGGCAAGGTGAATGAGCAGGGGATATTGAAGATGGAGGAACAGGGGTTAGGAGCTCAGCATATTTTTGTCCTTGTAACATGTCCGGCGGCTCCTCTGCTAGAACAACCCTGACCCAATCGACGACGACCACGTCCTCCTTATCATGGCAATGAATCCGGCAGGCCTGGGCGTTGCGTGCGGGCACGCCGAACAGTCCTTCGTATGGTGATTCCAGCGGCTGGCGCACACGGTCACACCGGACGAACATATTAGCGCAGTTGTCAAAGTCTTTTTCGACATAAGACTCAGTCGTTGGAGTTCGAGGTGGGACCGTAGAAAGCGAGCGCATAAACTGCCGCAAACGGTGCACAAGATTGTCAGGAGTCTCGCCGGTCCCACGAAAGGTGGGAGTGATCATCTCGCCTGGCACTCGAAAGGTAGTGCTTATGACCAATTCAACTGCGCTTCAGTCCAGATCGGTCTTCAGAAGTGCGCGGATGCCGAGGAGTGCAAGAGGAAGGTCGTCCGACCAGTTTCCCGGGTCTTCTATGGCACGCAGGGTGGTCTTTAGTTGGCGATGTACACGCTCGGCCATACCGTTAGCAGCTGTCGTCCGAGTGCGTTTGCAGCCAAAGAAATTGAGTAGCGTTTGGAAGGGTGCAGACTCAAACTGGGCATCGCGATCAGTCGTAACCGTGGATGGGGCACCGAACATGGTGACACAACGACTGAAGAAGGCCTTCACGATGGTTTCAGCCTGCGCATTCGGCAAAGGAATGGCTCCAGCCCAGCGGATGTATCGATAGACACAGGTAAGGCGGTGGGCGAAGCCATTGTATCGAGGTAAGGGGTCTACGGCATCCAGGTGCAGATGGCTGAACCGTGCGTCGAGGCTGGGAAAGTGCCAAGTGGGGACTTATTGTGACGTTGCACCTTGTTGTGCTGGCAGCTCAGGCACGATCGGGCCCAAGCTTCGACGTCCTTTTTCATGCCAGGCCAAACAAACCTTTCCGCGAGGAGCTTTTGAGAGGCTCAATCATCGGGTGGGCGAGTACATGCAGAGTTCAAAATACAGCTCGACGTTTCGAGGCGGGTACGAAAGGGCAAGACTTCACAAAGTATGGTACCAGAGTCAGTGGTCAGAGGAACGTTTTTGAGTTGGAGCGACCAACGGACTCGTCGCCAGGACAACCGACTCGCTATTGCTCAGCCAGCGTGGCACAAAGGTCGATCCCGTGTGAGAGCTGAAGGGAAGAGAGTGAGATCCTGGACAGTATATCAGCCACCTCATTCTTCGTGTCATTTTTGTGGCGGATGTCGTTGGTGAATTGGGAGATGAAGTCCAGGTGGGCAATTTCCCTCGGATTGTACTTGTCGGAGTGGGAACGAAGTGCAAAAGTCAACGGTTTGCGGTCAGTGAAAACAGTGAAGTCACGACCTTCAAGGAAATGCCGCAAATGCTTCACTACCAGGTAAATGGCAAGTAGTTCACGACCAAATGTATTGTAGCGTGTCTCAGCTGGTAAGAGCTTTTGGGAGAAAAAAGCAAGTGGTTGAGTCGAACCAGCAAGGTGTTGTTGAAGGACTGCACCTACGGCTACGGTCGAGGCATCTACCATCAGAGAAAGCTGAGCCTCGGGAGCGGGATGTGTAAGTAAGGTGGCATCGGCAAGAGAACTCTTGATTCTCTCAAAAGCAGTCAGTGCTTCACCAGTCAGCTCGAGGCGACCTTCGGGACCAGAAAGCATGTTGGTGAGCGGCAGCATGAGGTCAGCACAGTTCGGTAGGAACCGACGGTAAAAATTGACCATGCCGAGGAATCGCTGTAACTGACGCTTGGAAATTGATGGAGGGAAATTACGAATTGCTTCAACTTTGGAGGGAAGAGGGCGCAAAAATTTAGAGTCGGCATGATGGCCGAGGAACTCGAGCGAAGGCACGCCTAACCCCCACTTGAAGGCCTTGATGATAACGCCAAACTCGTCAAGGCGGCAAACACCAAGGCAAGATGCTGTTTTTGTTCTTCCTCATACCGGCTGGCAGCCAAGAGGTCATCAGTGCAGGCGTACACAAAGGGTAGGCCACGTAAGACATGGTCGATGAACCTCTGGAACGTTTGGGTGGCATTACGAAGACCGAACGGCATGCGGATGAACTCGAAGAGACCGAAGGGTGTTGTGACGGCGGTTTTAGGTATGTCCTCAGGGGCGACTGGAATCTGAGGAAAAGTACGCACTAGATCAATCTTCGAGAAAATCGCTTTGCCGAAAAGGGCTTCAGCAAAGTCCTGAAGATGAGGCAGGGGGTACCGATCAGGAATGGTGGCTCTGCTGAGGCCACGATGGTCGCCCCAGGTTCTCCAGTCACCTGATGTCGTTTTGTGCGCCATGTCAAGTGGGGACGCCCCAGGGCTCTCGGACGGTCGAATTATTCCCAGTTGCAGCATGTGTTCGAACTCCAACTTCGCGGTCTGGAAACGCTCCGATGCCAGTCGTCTCGGTTGAGCAAGCACAGGAGGACCCGAGGTGCGGATATGGTGCACAACATCATGTTGAACCTCGGCACTGCGAAACTGGGGGTTAATTATGTTGGGATGACTAAGAAGCAGTTGCCGAAAGGGACGAGCAATATCCGTATCCAAGACAGATAATTTAATGGGGACAGTAAAGGGAGTTATTCCACGAACAAACAGACCGGATGTGCGGTCGAGGAGACGGGCAAGTCGGCTGTCAACAAGGATATCGAACTTGGCAAAAAAGTCCAAGCCGGGGATTGCATGCGGTACATCAGCAGTCACAAAGATCCAGGTGAGCGACCGACGAAGGCCAATGTTCAGGATGAGGGCAGGACTGCCAAAAGTGAGAATGGGGGAAACGACGATCAGCTGCCGTTGGGGAAACAACGCTAATTTTGCGTCCAGTGTCCACCAGGAAATGTCTGCGAGTTGCAGAGTCGCAAACATAGAAGGTGCGGCCAGAGCCGGAAGAGCCAGAGAAAACGGTCGCGTCTTTTCTCTGACTGACTGGTTTCCCTGTTTCGACTTAAAAGAGCAGCTAGAGGCCTTTCCGCCGAAATGAGTGTGAAACCAACACGTATTGGCAGTCCGACGTCGCGGGCGCGAACGACGACGACTGCGTGAGCGACTGAAAGTAAGGCGTGCGAGCTGTAGTTTTATGGAGGCCGTCTAATCCGCCATGGCCGACACCTGCTCCATTAAATGCTCATTCACCGTCTATGACGATGCGGATTTCTGGACAACGGAACACAAGTGCAACCGCTGCACCTCTATCATTCGATCCGCCGACTCAGCCAGCTGTGAGACCGTGAGATCTTGATAACCGGACGCCAGGATCGTTTGAACATCTGCAGGCAGGCGCTCTAGAAACATCCCTTGGACGAAGTTATCGTCAACCTGCGTATCTCCCAGGAGAGAACGCAGTCGACATAGAAGTTCTGAGGGCTTCCGGTCACCCAGTGACTCCTCCTTAAGTAACTGGTAATACCGCTGTCGGTTGGACAAAGAATAATGTCGAAGAATTTCTGGCTTTAACGTGGAATAAAGAGCATCTGCAGGAGGATTAGATAACAATGACTGAACTTGAGACACAACACTAGCTTGGAAAACCTCCACAAGTTTGTGGTATTTCGTCAGCTCCTTGGTAACGTTAATAGAATAAAAGGCTGACTCGATGTGGATGAAATAAAGTTCTGGAGCGTGTTGCCAGAAACGGGGCTAGGTAAAACTGACAACATGAAGGGACTGGGCGGGGTCATCAAGCTGTTGGTTGGAGTGAGACCTAATAAGACAGCGATGGTAAAATATCAGAACTCACGAGGAAAGTAGACATAAATGGGATGGAACTTCACAAACGAATAGTGTCGGGAGTCACCAGTGACGTAAATAGTAATGTTCTCACGAACTAAAGGGTTATATCTCACGAGCCCTTAGCATTAAAGGCAGCAAGTATAACCGACCGATGAATACTATAGAAATTCTGCACATTAAGGAACATGACAACGGAGCCATCAAAACGGGTTGAACAGGTGTGGTGTTATTCGTCACATTCAAAAAAGCAATCCGGCCAAAGGAAACGGGACTAATTTGTCAAAGTGAATTTAGTCCGGTACCTCACCACAGAAATATGCCACCTTTCTTTTAGGCCAGAGTCGAATTCCGTCTTTGGATCATATTATTCTGTCGGCATGCCACTGGTGACTAACTGAGAACTCGGAGGACCTTTTTGAAGTGGTGAAGCTATCGGCCCAGCTTATACAGACGGCTTTTCGCTCGTTCTAGGAGGGCTATAAGGCGAAATAGGGGCGACACTTAAGGCTGCTGCTAACTTGGAGGCAGACGAAGACGTTAATTGTCTTAAGAGGGAGGGGGCTGTAGAGGTAATAAGGACAGTCAGGCAGACTTCACAGGAGTAGAATTAACTGAATTCTCACAGCTACTGGTAATATAACCGAATTGGTGATCATTTGATTGAGAAGGCGAGGAATTATGTGAGAATAGAGGCCCATTTATACGCTCCATGTGGGTAAGATCATGATAAAAGGAGAATTTTCGCGTTTTACAGATATGTAGAAGCTCGATCTCAGTGTGCAAATATTGAATCAACCTTCATTGGTGAGAACAACTAAACTGAAACGAGCGGACTTTCGCTCGGGAAGATACGTCTTTGGCATTCACTAATTTATAGTTGAATCCACATGACAACAGTAATTAGTCAATACATCAACTGTGAGAGCAGATCCAGGAACGTTTTTCTTAGGGAATTTCAGGCTCTTTTTGTCCATCACTTGATTCACTGATAACCAGGTTAACCAGTGAGTCAAGACGCTTGCATTCATGAGAGTGAACCTCGGAGATACTCCCGTTAAATAATTTTCCCAGAATTGGGAGCACACTGCCAAACGTAGCATAAAACGTCGAAATTTTAAAGCGCAGGCATATCAAGCTGCCTATCAATAACGACAGTGACGAATGGCTATTAATGCTTTCTGATCCGGTTTTAGATAAGCCATGCTTAGGTCAAGAGGCCGAAAAATTTCGCCGACCTGTGACATCTGCTCCCGTATTTTTTGAGTTAAGTCGAGATCAACCGAACTTTTGATAAATCAGGCGGCCACATTTCAGCGAAAGGTAAATTCTATAAAGAAAATGTACACGGTTGTAGACAGGTCAAACGCACAAAGCGCGAATTGCAAAATGCTACTAGTAGTTAACTGGCACAGTCTAGCAAATCCCGAAAGGGAAATGACAATCAATTATTCTAAAAGAATAGGCCTTTATTTGAAGACATTTACTCAAAAAACGAACAAGAAAATTTTGTGCCAAATGAAGAAGTCGTCTTGAATATTATCTTCCGCTTTCTTCTAAATATGTAACCAGTTCAGTGAAAATAAATGCTGTAAGTTCTTGTAGCCAACGAAATATTGTTACTTTACCTCCGGCACTGAAACAAAAGTCACAGAGCACGGTCTACCGCCAGTGTGTAATCGAGTAATCGTTGGACAAATGTACCCCTTGTGAAAAATACAGTGGTTCAGCTGTATAGTTTGGAAGAGCATGCGACTCATTCATCGTCGTCTGATAGTACTGGGCATGTTGACAAACGCGCGTAAACAAATATTCAACTACATTAGTTAGCCAGTTAATGTCGTTGCGAACACTTTGTAAAAAGGGCTTGAAGGGGAATGCTGCAAACTTACCAAACATCTTCCTGCAGGCGTCGTAGGCAATGAGCTTTATAAACAATATTCTACGGTTATAAAAAAAATGGGGAAATCGAAAACAAAGCTCTGTAACAAAGGATAGGAATGTTTGTCCCAGAACATATATGAGGTCGGGTAGTATAATATTTGCAGTGCCATTAGAAAATGTAAAAAGTTCTCGTATCCGGATTTGTTAAGTTGTAAGGACATAACTTTGAGGCCAGTATATGCAAGAGAAATCATCTACATTTTGCAATCATTCGGCATTCAGAAAAACTTCTTCATATTTGGAGGTTGAGCCCACCGAATAAATCTTCCGTAGTGAAATGTTCGTGGTCTCTAATTTTTGTACCCGGTCCCATTTAGTGAGAACTGGTGCTATTTTTGCAGCCCGCAACAGAATAGGTAATTTCTCCAGCCACTAACGAGCAAATACTTACCCGTGCTCCCGGTTTGGTGTATTTTCGATTCAATGAAAAAGAGTGATGACTGAGAACATATGATGTAGTGTTACCTTCTTTCTTTTGAGAAAGCGTAATTTAACGGGTCGAATTTTTTCTCCTGAACTACCTAGTATTCTCAATAAAACTGCTACCTATATTTTCCCCTTCAGCAGTTTTTTTCACTGCCAGCTCGATCCGTAGGGAATACTTCATCGATAATGCCCATGGATAGTCGTTAAGGAAAAATTATCATTGCCATAATATTATTATCATTATTAATATAATTATTATAAAAAAATAGGTTATTACGAGTCCTACACTCGCACAAAAACTCAAATGAAAGAGACTGATTGCACATATTAATGCATGGGCTCAATAAAGTCAAGGATTTCCTAAAGCCCAGACGTCACTTATGATGCAATTTTCGCATGACACCTAGGCATACTAGAGGCATATGTTCACTTTCGAAACGGCCAATCACATCGATTTTCAAACCATTGAAATTCAGTGAACCTCCGATGTCCAATGTTTGATCTCCCAATGTGAAGTCTTACGGATGTCACTGTACACTGAGAATTTGATGCGGTTTGCAATAGATTTGTTTTTTATAAAAACACACATTGTGGCCATATTTGCATCTAGAAAACAACATAACTGTCCCATCCATGGTAGGCTTAACTTGCCAAACATAAGGGAGGACAGGGGTGTCATAGGTAGCATAGGCTTGGTCCAATTTCGTGGAGTTCTCAGTGTGTTGAACGTGCAGACCACTAGCCGGAGTATGTTTATTCCATCAACGCAGTCGTCTAGGATGCCATCCAACTGATCGAGCTTCCCATGACCAGTAAACACTAAAACTACGAAGGACCCCTCAATGACCGGATGTCTTATACGAGCAAGAATTAGTCGCAGACTTCGGGCAGATCCGTCAAACGTCATTATTTCATCAATATGGAGCTGAACAGGCATTTCGGGAATGCTCGTTGTCGCTCGAGCAAACCATGCCGAAGGTCCAGACGGACATATCCGTCTTTGCTCAGGAGCTTGCTTATGAACTCAAAGCGTCTGCAATAGCGTCCTTGGGTGCTTCTGTGCCTTTGAACGTTAGGGTTGACGTAACCGATGTAGTATATTCGTAGCGGAAAATGGCATTTTGGCTTTCAGGCAAAATTCCAACAGAGCTGCCAAAAAACTGTTACAGCCGGCTGCGCCAACGTCTTCTCTAAATTTTCGGCAGTATAAAATCCTCCAGTTATTAACACACATGAAATATCTATCCGTAAAGTCCTACGGGCTTGTGTGCGGCATTTTTTTACTGCCGGTGACTGACCTGCCGCCGAAGACTTGACGAAAACCAAATTTGTTATATTTTAAAAGTGATTTTGTCGTTTGCGTTAACATGCATAACCTAGATATTTCTCCCCTTATTCAATAACTATGAATTGAGTATTGAATAAATTCTTTCTACCTGTTCTAAAATGTATGTAAAAATTTATGCTTACATATTATGACAGGACCCACACTCGTCTTGAATAAAAATTATTTGTTTATTTATTTCACTATGTGAAAATTCATATACTGATGGAAATTTCTGATGCATTATCTGATTTTTTCGCATGCCCGTAGAGTCTTTTGATCGTTGTCTCTTGGTCTTCGCTCTTTTATTTACCGGTTTCGGCTTCTGCAGACCTTGTGTATATTGCCTTTTCTGTAATGGCGGAAACTATCGTGGATCTCTCAGAGTGCCGCGCGAAGTGTAAAAGATCAATTCACAAGATTCAAGTTAAGACATTCAGACGCT